ACCAAAATCTGCACACACACACACAAACATATAATAAACCAGTGAATGTACTGTACTGGTTAATAGGGCACTGATTGCTGTAGAAACTAAATGCTCAATTACATCCAAAGAGAGACCAGGAATCCATGTGGAGACTTGAGAGTAAATGGAGTCAGTCTATCGTGGCTCACCCCCTAAAGAAGGGCCGGCTGTCTTCTGTTCAGCCTGAAGTTTCTCTGTGGTTTCAAGCCTTATGTGACAATAGCCTAGCTAGTGGTGACAGATCGTGTCCCTTTCATTACCCATATTTGACCAGAGACTGTGACCACTCCTCTCCCATGCAGACCTCAGACCACTTCCATCCCTCCAGGCTAGACTATGTAATGCACACCTCTAAGGGCTACCTTCAAGACCCCCCAGAATCTCTAATTAGTGCAAAATTCCCCTCAGTATCCCACCTCTCCCGGAAATACTCTTTGTCCTTCCTGGTACTGTCCCCAAAGTATGGCACAAAAATCCATGGTTTCTCTGCCCATGAGGATACCAGTCATAGAGCTGTTCCAATCTGGCTCCCCTACCAGTGAGGGTAACAGCTGAAAGGGATAACAGAGGTGGGCCCAAGACCCCACATTATGACTACATATTGTATGCACTCCTATTGCCCTCCTCTGAAGTGTGTTTGCAGATGAAACTTGGAGTGCACGAATACAAAAGTAAAGATGAAACTTAATGTGAGGTGTTTCACAACTCACTACATAAGTAAGCTTCTCACTGACGCATTAGTGGATTTCCATAAACGCAAATTCTGTGCAGAGGTTACATAGCCTTGGTTACGTAAACTTACCAGCTAAAGCACAAAATCTAAAATGCACCCATACAGTGATGAAAGAAATCAAATGATACTTCACTAGCATATCTAAAATTAAAAAAAACAAACAAGTACTTGCTTAAGGCAGGTAGAAATTTGCAAGTCTGGATTACAAAGCAGCACACAATCACACATACTGTACGGAAATGCACACTTCTTTCACACATCAGGAAATCTTCCCATCCTTTTGGAAATCTTGAAATCATTGAACAGAGAATGACTTCTGAGGAGGAGAACTGGCTTTTTAATTTTTTTAAACAATATCTTGCAGCAGAATGAAACGGCAGAGACATACAGAAGGCCAAGGGGACACAACTGACCAATATGAATGATGTGCCCCTTTTTGTCCAGCATGATGTTGCCATTGTGTCTGTCTTTAATCTGGAGCAGAAACAGCAGGAGGCTATAGGCAGCCATACTGCGGATGAAATTATATCGAGCCTGCATAAATGAGAAATTAGAGCAAATTCAGAAGAGGAGGGCTAGTGTGCTACACCATCCCAAGAGCAGATATAATCTGATAAAGAATTTCTTCCATTCATGTTTACACTATTTTAAATGAATGACATTCTCCAGTCCTGCAACAGCTTCTGTGCATAGCCTGCTCACAGGATTATCTGCATCTGACACCAGGTACCGTATTATGGTAATAATTATACAATATAGTGTCACGGTATTTCTTATAGCCAGAATGCTTCTCAAGTCAATATTTTGATATGTTTGGCCAGTTGGTATGTTACCTTTTGGAAAGCAAGGGTTGACTCGTCTCCATATTGCCTTGTAAAGTAATCATACATTCCGAAGTCTGTCTGCCTGCCCAGCTGGTCACGGGAGGTGCAGTCAGGAATGCATTCAATAACACCACACTGAAGGGGAAGACAAACAAGACTGCAAAGCACGTTCCCAACATACATTTTTCATGGCTAATGGCACCTATACAGATCCCATGGGACATATGGGTAAAAATGTCTAGAACACTGAATATACATTTCCCATTTATTCATTAAAAAGAATGTCCCAAACTTTCCACCTTTCCTATAACTAACTGAAGAGGAGATTCATGACTGCTTCCCAGAGGTACTTCTCTCTGGCACTTGCTGCTGCTCACACAACATATTCTCAAGGGAGAGGGGGTAGGAGTGTCACAGCTGGCAAGTGCCCAGTCAGAAGCTATGGGGAAGGTGATCTGGGGATAAAAATTCCCTGCTCTAGAGGAATATGGGCTGACAGAGAGATGCCCCTTTCAACAGTGCTTAATTCTGTTCACAGTCTGAATAGTTTATCATCCACTTACCCCTGGGGCTGTGGCCACCACTCTATAGGGGAACACAAACAGGTCCAGGCCTACCAGCTGAAATATATTCTTGAAGAGATCAATGATTTGTAAAGCTAACATGTCCTGTTTAACAACAAAAGGGGGCATAAGTATTAGAGAGGTCATGCAACAAGATCCAACTGGTTATGAAAGTGGTCTGAAGAACAGAGCAAACAAACACCCCACAGAAAGTTAGCAGATGTGTACTTAGTGTTGCACTCACTATATCTATAGAGGAAAAACAGATGGAAAATGTAGTTTGGGTGGGCAGGAAGTCAATGTACACAGATGTCATTCAGATAAGGTGTTAACACTGAAGACTTATCTGCTTGCCTCTGACGGATATGAAAATCCTTGGCATTCCTTGAGGAGAGGAGTAGGAGTAACTCCAACATCGTAGCCAATATTCCCCTTCTCAGTTAAAAAGAAACCGGTTTGAATCCATAACACACTTCACTTTGGAAGCCACTGCTGAACTACCATTAACTACACTTTTTTTTAAAATAAAGTTTGCTGTTTGGAGTGTGAGGCTTCAACAGGCATTTTTGGCACTGGGTAAAGCTGTGTCTTGAACGTATGAGATTTTCTTTCCACCACTTTTCTAGGAGTGGGTAATGTAGTTCTCCCCTTTCACTATGTCTCTGTAATAAGCTAAACATTGTCCCCAAGAGCTCCAGAGAGAAGGGTACTCCAGTGTGATTTTTACTCCCCTTTAAAATACAACCTCTGTCAATCAATTTTCAATTACTAGAGAAGCTTTTTACCTGTCTGCAGTCATCGCCCACTTTAAAGATAGCTGCTTGCCAACAGATTTTCTTACGGTCAACCCCTTCTTCTCCACTTTCGTCTATGGAGTCAGAGCGACAACGCAGACCTGCAAACAGAGCAAAAAGCAAAACTTGAACATGGAGCTTAATTAGCAGCCTTGAATCACAATAAATGACAGTACTGGAAACTTAACCCTTCACTTGTCTACAAGAGATTTTCTGCATTGCAGGGTGAATTGCACTGAGTAACACTGAATTCCTGAAGACTTTATGTTTCCTGCAGTACAGGTGGCATTTATACATACAAATTAGATTCCAAAATAGCCCTCATGGTCTGCCGGAAAAGTTCATGTACAAATCAAGCCCAGGAGCTAAAAATCCTTCTGAAATTTATGATTTAAAAAAGCATTGCACAGCCGCGTTAACCTGAGTTTCCTTGTTTTCTAAACTACCCAAATATACCTAATTTACATGCTGGATTTAAAGTCATTGGCAAAATTTCTTTAGTACACAAATATCTGCTCTGTTTTTACAAGATCTGATTTGCCTCTTAAAACTCAAACAACAAGCTTATTCCCCCTTCCCCCCCCCCCCCCAATTTACAGAATTCAATTTCTGGGTTGAATTAACATGCCTTACGTTAAAATTTGAACCCAGTTTTACTGGAATGATACCATCCACCAAAAGCATGAAACTGCAATGAGTCATTGACTGTTAATTAGTAGTATAAATGATTAAGAACTATATTACTGACCTTCTTTTTCAAGTTCACTGACTCCACACCATTTAACCTTGAACTTGGCCAAGTATGGTGCTTTTGCAGCACTGAAAGTACAAACACACACATAAGGAAGTTGAGTTTGATGTTTCCAACCAACAAAACGTCCTCGAAAAGACCTAAATATTGTAACTAAGATTATCTGAGGTATAAAACAACATGATGTTGCCTCTGCACAGGAAAGAGGCAAGATAGACGAGGCAATATCTTTTATTGGACCAACTTCAGTTGGTGGTAGGTACAAGCACGAGCTACACCTGTGACACACTGCTTCCTTTCCCAGACCAGAGGAAGAGCTCCGTGTAGCATGAAAGCTTGTACCTTCCACTAGCAAAAAAGTTGGTCCAATAAAAGATATTACCTCACGTACCTCGTCTCTTTCATATCTTGGGACCAACAAGGCTACAACAACACTGCAAATTACCTCTGCATAGGAGTTCCAGACTTGTAGTCAATATCCAAAACAATCGCTTCAGGATTGCTGGGCAAGTAACAGCCTACAACAAAAGGGGAGAAGAGAACTTGATAGACATGAAGTGAATTCACCAGCTAGCGTGACAGAGTGAATTTCTAGAAGTTTGATAATACATTGATTCATGTAATTTTAAAATCTATATTGAAGTTAGAAATGGATACATTACGGTCTACCACCATAAGACAGTCTATAGGCTGTAGCCTGTAGTCTGTAAAGGACACAGGATACCTTTTAGATTGGTCATTAATTGCCAGAGAAAACAGATTACAGAAAGACACAGATAAAACTTATCCCTCAAAAATCCCGAATAAGTTTTAAAGGTCAGATTCAGAGGGGGAAAAAAAAGGGTCTTGGAGCAGTAGAGACTTTCAAAGTATGGGATAGGGACAGAGGACACGAGAGGGAAGGGCAGTTAGATGGTTGTGTCTCATCCCTGAAAACTTATTTCTTCACATGCATAGCCTGCCCGCCCATCATCTACCAAAAACATGTGACACAAAGCAAAAGGTTTTCTTAACCTTGCTCTTCAATTGTACTGCTCCCTTCATGCTCTTTGGGGCAGGGATCTTCATATCTGGATTGTGACATGCCATGCACACTGTTGGTACTATACAAATATTTGTGCTACCATGTTCATGCTTAGCTTGACAAGGAACAACAACAGAACAAGTCACTTCTTAGCCCCAGGCAGCAAAAATATTAAAAAAGAGGCAGAGAAGAGCCCAATTGTTATGAAATTCCCATGAATCACTCCTACAAAGTACAGTATTCATGCTAAATGCAAAAGGAACGTACAATATGATTAGACCACTTCTTACCAGGCTGTACTTTCACCTCAGACAGAGCACTCAAACAAGCTTTCTTTCTTTCATCTCCTTTAGGGAATGGCCTGGGGAGAAAGAATTTATTTTAACTTACTGAAGTCTGCCGTTATTCTAGGAAGAAACTTTTTGTTTGTTTAAATGTGAAACAAACAATCTCTTACTATACTGCTGCAGCTTTATACACACTAATTCAGTATCGAGTCTGAACCTTTTCCTTTTTAAAGCCTTTTCCTTTCTAAAAACTCTTTTCTTACCTCTGTGCAGAACACTGGATAGGAAAGGTAGTCACATACTGTATAGTAGCTGGCAACAAGCCTTAGTAGTCTATTTCCCTTCTCTCCCCAGTTGAAAGGCCGCCTGGACTATAATTTTATTTTCTAAGTTTGTGTGGGCAGGTGAAGCTAGCACCCTAGCAATCTGATGGCAAATGCACTGCATGTTTGCCAAGCATAAGATATAAAACAGATCCTTAAATGGCTGAGCTACATGCCCACAATACATGATCACAGGAGGAACAGCTTCTTATATGCGCAGGCTCCAAGTCCTTTTCAGAACTGCCCAGGAAATCCTTGGATTCAAAGCCCTCTCAAAGGCCTGCACCCCTTCTCAGTGCTCGTAGTTTATACCGTACCAAACTGTGCGCAATTATAAATGGCCTTTCCCTGGCAGTCATAGAAAAGCTCTACAGAACAACTTAACATGATTAATGTGAAGCTGCCCAGACAAAACAGGAAATCTGCCTGTATGCCAAATAATACATACACTCTAAACCAAGATTCTTGAATTCTCAATCCAGGCTCCCATTCAGCACAAGGGGAAGCAAGTACTTTGCAACACTTAACAGTGACTCTGGTTGATCAAACAATGAATTTATAAGTTCCAGAGTTCTGTTCAGCCACGGATGATCACAGCTGTGATTTGAGGCAAGAAGAGTAATAAGGCTTAACATGGGGAAAACTGGAGGGGATGCACAATCTCTGATAAGACTGCTGATTTCACCCTCCCCAAGAAAAACATTTCTTCCCCTGCTGCAGAACCTTGGCTCAGACAGTGTTGCACATCTAAGATGACAAAACATTTCTGAACATCCCAGGAGTTTCCACATAAGCCATAGGGTAAACTTTCAAGTATTGCAACTGGGGAAACGTGAAGGATGTGAAAATATTACATATGTCCTACCGTGCAGGAATTGTGGTTGTATGGGGAAAGAGGGGGAGGGAAAGTTTTGGGTTAGAGGTATTACAGATTATAGAGGTTATAGGTATTATATAATGGTAAAGATTAAATTCTGGCATTTTTTTAAAAAACATGGTCAAAGTTCAATTTTTTTTTCAGAGCAAGATAAGGAGAATGATTCTTTATAGAAAGAACTCCTGTAAATAGATAAATTACTATGATTATTCATAGGAATTCCACATAGCAAATGGCTAAACAGTTTGAGTTACAACATATAGTACAAAAGGTGATATCACCTTAAAACTGTCTCCTGTTTTAACAGCAAAATGCCAAAAACATAGAAAAGATTGGTACCAACAGAACTGAAGCCAAGGTTTTGGAATATTCCATTGTTCACTGTAATTATTTTTTGCTTAATGTGTGAAATATCAATCTGAACAGCAGGAGACTGAAAACTTTGATTAATGAAAGATTTTTTTTCTTGGTTTGGATGTTACATAGAGGATTAGGATAAATAGCAGAAATTCTGATGTTTCTTTCCTTGCTCAAGGAACTAATGAAGGCCTGGTCTATACACAGTTTTTGTAGCAATTTCAGTATTTTGGTTGTGCAGGTGGTGGGGGGCTGGAATGATTTTATACTGATAGATATAGGTGAAGCATCCCCTAGCGTGGATGTGATTACTGTATACAGATATAAAAAAAAGTTTCTTACCTGTAAAGTAAATGTTGTTCTTAGAGATGTGTTACGCAGATGTATATTCCTCTGAAGGTATATGTGCACCCGATGCACAAGAGTAAATCGAATGCAGAAGTGATTGCCACCTAGAAACACGGTCCTCATAGACAGTAAAGGTAATGAGGCTGTCACCATAAGTCCAAAGGAGGATCCTATCTGTTTGGAGAGGACTAGTCTGAGATCCCATATAGGTCCAGGATCAGACACAGGAGGGTAAGTGTTGAGTAAACCTTTCAAGTATCAGGAAACCAGAGGGTGAGAGAAAATGGAAAACCCTGGTGGATGTAATGTAGATATGGAAGCCAGGAGAACTCTCACAGAACTAATCAAAAGGCCTGATGATATCAGGTGCAACAGATAGTCCAGCATGTCTAACCTCTGGGTGATGGAGCAGTAAGTGTTGAGATTGTGCCCAAATTAAAAATCTCTTCCTCTTTGCTGGCTGTAGTGGAATATTTTCTGCTGTTCACCAAGATGGTCTGAATGTCTTGGAAGCATGATTTCTCATTAGAATTTAACCAGAGATCATCCATGTTGTGAAGTGGAGAGACTGGAGGTTGGGATGAAGAGACCTGCCCTGGTTCTGAGAGAGGAGATCCTTGACTAGAGGAAAAGTTATCAGTGACCAGATGGAGAGGTGATGCAGATCCAGGGCCATGCCAGTGGCAGGAGGATTAATGTTGATTTGTCTCTTTTCAGCTTCCTGAGTATCCCTGGAAAGAGAGGAACCAGGAGGAAAGCATATTGAAATTGACTGGACCGAGGGAGAAGGAAAGCATCTGTGATGGAGCCCAGGCCGTGGCCCGCCGTGGGGCAAAATCTCCTCCATCTGTTGTTCAGGTTGGTGGCGAACAAGTCTATTACTGGGTACTCACGGGGAGAAAATCTAGAGGAGAATGTCCTTTCTGACTGACCACTTGTGTTGGGCTACGAAATCCCTGATGAGGGAATCCCCAGTTGTTTCTCTCACTCCTAGAAGGAGAACAGCTTCAGGGAGACGCAGTTTCTTACACACAGGTTCCATAGGAGGATGGCATCCTGGCATAGCTGAGATGATCTTGCACCTTTCTGCTTGTTCAGATAAAACATGGCGGAGTTGTCCACAAAAAACTTCCATCACCTAGGTCTTGATGGTGGACAAACATCTCAAAGGCTTGATGAACAGCTCTGAGTTCCAGTACATTTAAATGGAAAGAAACTTCCTGGGGTGACCAAAGAGCTTGTGCCTGAAGCTGACTGAGATGGGTCTCCCAGTCTTTGGTAGATCCATTCATTACCAGAGTCATAATTGGTTCTGGGGACAGAGACGAAACTCCTTTGCATACATTCTGTGGATCTAACCACCAATTCAGAGTCTGAAGCACTTGAGCAGGTACACAAATCCGCGTGTTCAGAGGGTGACTAGAAGGACGATACACTGACTGGAGCCAGGACTGCAGACAGCGAAGGTGAAGTCTGACATGTGAAGTTTCCTCAGTGCATGAGGTCATGTGGCCCAGGAGCTATAGGCAGGCACACGCGGATGATGTTGCGGCTTTCAAGAAAGGCTACAGAGCGAAACCTTTCCCCTAAGAAGGTTAGCAAGAGGGTTCATGGCATCAAGGTCTGCACCCATGAAAGTTATACACTGTGTTGATTGTAATTTGTCCTTTTTTTTCTTTTCAGGCCCAGACGAAAGAACACCTGTCTGATGACAGGGATGCTGTTTTGGACCTGGTCACTAAACGTTCCACAAACTAGCCAATCATCCAGGTAAGGAAATTTCCGAATGGTTAAACGGCACTGGTAAGCCGCTACCACCACTGTTGCACAAGAGTCTCTCAGGGTGCGCACAGCATGGTCCATTTTGTTGGGAGATGGTTTAAGATCCTTTGAGGAGTAAATCTTCTGTTGCATTTTGCAACTCCTTTGGAATGCCAGAAGACTGCAGCCAGGAAGAGCGCCTAATGGAAATCACAGTGGCCACTGACCATGAATTCATATCAGCAACGTCAACAGCTGCTTGAAGGAATGTTCAGGCTGTGAAGTGACCTCAAATTAAGCTTCAAACTGTCCCTTATATTCCTCTGGCAACTTGTCAGCAAACTTAGAAATTGCAGAAAAAAAAATGTATTTAGATAAAAGCCCAATAGTTAGCCACCCGTTTTTGGAAGAGCAATGATGGAATAAGCCTTTCGACCCTATAAATCCAGTCCCTTGAATTCCTGGTCTTCGGGAGTGGCTTTAGGATGGGACTGACGAGACTACTCATTAGCAGCCATGACCACAAGGAACTGGGTCGGTTAAAAAAATAATCAAAATCTTGTTGAGGGATTTGATATCATCTGTCCATTCCCTTGGCCACAGATGGTATACAGCAGGGCTTCTCAACATTTTTCTTTCTGAGGCCCCCCCTCCCCAATATGACATAAAAACTCCAGGGCCCAGCACAGGGGGAGGGGGTGCTCAGGGCTTCAGTGGGGCACCAGGGCTTCTCTCCCCCTCCGGGATGCCGGGGCTCTGAGCTTTCTGCCCTGGGCCCCAGCCAGTCTAACGCTGGCCCTGCTTTGTGGACCCCCTGTTGAGAACGGCTGGTGTAGAGGTTAGGGTCTGTCACAAGGGTTTTCATTGGCTCCAGCAAGGCTTCATTGATGGGCAAGGCAACCCTTCCCGGGGCAGGAGTCTGTAAAATACCACAGAGTGCGCGTGGGTTTTCCTTACACAAGTACCACCTGCACTACTACGGAAGTAACTACCCTCCTCCCGAGTCCTGGAAGATCTTACAGTCCTCTGGCAGGGAGACGCTGACTCTGAAATAGCTTCTTCATCTGGAGAGGATGATGAAATATGGAGGGAGAACATCCAGAGGTTCCTCTATTATTTCTCCTTCCTCTATAGGGTCTAGTACAGCGGGTAGAGGGATGGTAGCAATATTCTGGGGAGAGGTTTCCTGCACGGGGGAAGTCTCCTCCTCCCCCAGTGCGGAGTCCAAAGAATAAGTGTAGATTTCTTCAGAATAGGGAGGAGCGGTCCCCATTGGGGTTCGAGGTGGTCTGGGTATGGGTGGCACCTGGGGATCCAACAAAACTTAGGGTTGAGGTGGCTGGAATGCCAACAAAATGATCGGGGCTGGCATAATCGGCCGAAGAGACTGTGCTGTCTTCGGAGGAGTCAGGCGTTCTGAATGAACCACTGTACTGATGATGCTAAGTGCACCGGCAGTGCTGAGGATGTCAGCAATACTGATAGGTTTCAGAGTAGCAGCTGTGTTATACTGATGAAACCAAGTGGACCACCAGTGCCTAAGATACCTTAAGCGGAGCAGATTGTAGTAAAGGAGGGTCCAGTAGCGGGAGACAGAGAACATCCCTTGCCAACAAGGCGGCCAGCGGACCAGGGGATACCGAAACAAGTAAGTGTTTGTCCGGCAGTGCTGAGATAGACAGGATACGTTGGAATTTTGAAAAGGAACACAGTAAGGGTGAAGACACCAGTCTTAACAGCCCCAGAGGGGCAAGAGTCAATGGTGCCACCTCAGACAGAGCCGGTGGTTGTCTAGATTTGTGGTGGCTTGAACCAGTACCAGAGGACTTACTGGAAGTCTTTTCAGGAGAAGACCTAGATTTTGAGCGCTTATAAGAGGCTAATGGTGAGGGCAAAGGGTGACGTTTCTAACCAGACTTGCACATCGAATCATGGGCAGCTGGAGGGACGCTCCCCATGGACTCTGAATCTGCTACTTGGCAGTCGGGGCTTGGTTCTGACGCTGGGTGCATCACCTCCTTCATAAAGTGAACTTTGAGGTAGAAAGCCCTCTTTTTCTTTTTTTTTTGTGCTGGTGGGGAAGGAGGTACAAATGGGGCATTCGTCTCTCACAAGGCCCTCACCAAGGCAAATCAGGCCACTCTTGTGCCTATCCATAACAGGGAAAACAGCCCTGCACATTGCATGCTGCTTGAAACCTGGGGATATTTTTGTAATAAAGTCCATTAGGGTACCTATACCAAACACTATAACTGAACTACTGAATGCATCCGATGAAGTGAGCTGTAGCTCACGAAAGCTTATGCTCAAATAAATTTGTTAGTCTCTAAGGTGCCACAAGTATTCCTTTTCTTTTTGCGGATACAGACTAACACAGCTGCTACTCTGAAATATGTACACTATAGGAATTTTGAAACACTTGCTAACTGAAGCAAATGTTATAGGGAGCCCCAACTCTCACAACAGATGGTGAGAAGGAACTGAGAGGGAGGAAGTGAATACACCCCTTTTATGTCCTCCTCTGAGAGGATGAGGAAAGCAGGGGCTTATGCACCACCTGCTGGCAAAAGTCTCTGACTCAGGTGCACTGGGTGTAGATACACCCGCAGTGGAAGGCATATGTGCACAATCACTTGAAGGAGAAAAAAGGTCTTTTATTGGCATCGCTTACTCTATAAATGTACTAGAATAAGATATATCCAGCATAAGGACCTTCTTACCAGAATAACTGCATCTGCACTACGGGATTGTAGTGCTTTATCTATATTGCTGTCTAAACCAAGATAGTTAAAGTGATACAAAACCTGTGTGTTGACAGGTCGTAAGCTATGTAAATAGCAAAATAGCATCAAAGGCCTGAATTAAACAAGTTCAGGCTTGTCTATTCAGGGAAATTTACCAGTATAATTATACCCCTTATAGTTCAACCACTATAACTCCTCTTATGGGCATTTGTTCCAGAATAAGAGCACCTTTTTCTGGTTTAGTTTAGACCACTTTCAAAGTGACACACAGGCAAAATGTCTGTGTAATTACATTCCTAATTTGTTCACACAGTTACCACAACTGGAGGTGAAAACTGGATAACTGAAAACAATTATAAATTAGCATGGAAATTTCCCAATTTTTGCACATGCAGTCATAGCAAATGCCTGTGGACATTAGGCATGAAATTGCACACTTAAAATGATGTAGAAGTCAAGCACCTGAAAGGCGTTCTTTATGGTATTCAGCTAGGTGGTACAGTGGGTTACTGCACCAGATTTTCATTTCTGGAGACCAGAGTATAGCACTTAGGACATTCAAATCATTTGCGGTCACATCTTCATTCACATCTGTGCCCTTTACAACCTCCCTCCCCCCACGCGATCCATAACATTATCTGAACTCTTTGCTTAAGAGGTGCCTGGAATGGAGCAGAAGATGGAAGTGCCTGCAAAACACCTACCTGGTTAAAGCCAGTGCTATTAAGCTATTTACTCATAACTTTAAAACAATAAAAATGAGTGGGACATTCACTCAGGCACCAAAGCTTTCAAGAGCTAAGACAGAAATGGCCCCTTTAAGCCATCCCAACGTATCCAACCTTTCAACACACACAAAAAAGTCTCCTAATGTCTGGTGACTCCTGCGACAGCTGTACCATTTGGCCTGAACTTCCTGTATTAACAAATGTTAATGTTGGTTAACAATTAGCAACATTTTAAAAAGTAAAACCAATTCATTTACAGGGAAGATACTCTGCATTACTTTTGCTATTTTCTATGTCAGAGAATGTTTTAAAATGTTTAACAAAAGCACACGCTTAGGTTACGAGCTTGCGTGCTGAGCCACTGCCATCCTCTGGCAAACTTTAAAAAAAAGTTACATTAGGTACTTTTGCTGCACTTCCTTCCTATTGTTACTATTGGTTTCCAGAACCTCTGTGAACAGAAGCTTCACGTTCATTAAGTGATAACAAAATCCAGTGTGAGACATCACAATCTATCTCCATTAAAGCTGGTCTGCTGCTCCAGAAACAACGAATTATAACAGCACTTTATGAGTAAGACAGAACACGTCAAGGCTACGTATTCAGGATAAAGCTTCTATTTACAGTACACATAGAAATGCCTTTGTGAAGAGAGACATTTTCACGGAGATTTTAGTAAAATATAACGTGTATCATTTGCTGGAGCACATCTGTGGTTCTTTAAATCCAAAACAAAATGTTTCCAGCAAGTTGTAATTTGCAGAAAATAATGGAAAACCCTGACATACCTACATACTTCAGTGCTGCTTTTCCTGCGTGAAGCGACTTTCCTGCTAACTTTCCAGAAGAATGCCTCTAACCTATCCAAAGGCCCATTTTAATGAGGCAGGTGACACTAACTAGGCCTGTGGGACTGGTTCTACTGGCGCAAAAGCATCAGTTGTTTTACCATTTTCATTCCTGCCTAGCTGCACTTTCCTATGCAACGTCATTCTACCAACACTGAACTCCCAGTGCTTGCTTGCAAAACAAAGATAAATCAGATTAATTTAAAACCAAAGTTCAATCTATCACCATTTCTTTATGGCCCAAACTGCAATGCATATTTCAGATGGTGGGGTCAGTAAAACAGTCACTGCTCACTTATAGTTTACCCAGGTCTGACTAGATACTAATCTATAGAAATATAAAGCAAAACAAGCTTTTGTATCTCACTAGCACAGATCCATAATCTGCTGGGAAAATGTATTTAGCTTTTGATACACCAGTATTTTTTTTTTAATCTTTCTGGGAATTCATGGTCTCAGATCCCATGCAAAGCAAAACTTCCTATTCAGGACAACAGTTATTTGCAGAATAGGGAGCTATACAACGGCTCATTCTCCCGAACTCCCACACTTACTTGATGATGGCTGAAACATTGGTGATTTTATTAAAGAAATCAAATTCCCGTTGGTAGAACTCCTTGGCTGGCCCAGATAATGAACTGGTCATCTCTTCTACTAGCTGCTCCAGCAGTTCCCCGATATCAGCTGCATATGTAACCAAAAGAAGCAAGCCTGAATAAAATCTTGGGCACCTACCCAGAAAGACACAACTAATAAGAGGGAAAAAGGGAGATTTTCCTTTGAATCACAAACACAAGCATGCATGGACCTACTTCATGGAATTCCACAAGGAAAAACCCCTCAACAAAATGGGTCTTATCTGCACAAATAGAAGGTTCATAACTTCCGAGGAAAAAAAGATGAGGGGATTCAATCTGTGAAATAAGGAATAGGAGAGATTAGGCTAATGGGCCCAAGCATGCAGTACTCACGATCTTTCTGATGTCCCTCTTCATCCAGGAAGATATTGGTTTTCATGTTCCAGATAAACTGGTGAGCCAAAAGCTGGGATTTGGCAGCCGCCCACAGGATGTATTCCCTGACATAGCCCATCTGTAACAGTACAAATTCACCATCACCCAGAAGACTAGTGCCACAACTTAATCCCATCAGCACCAGTGGCTAACCTTCACATCTGAATATATTTAAAGTCTGGAAAGAGAAGACAATGGCGATGTCTTTGAGTGCTTTTCTAGGAACATGAAAGGTGGCACCATGATCTGAAGGACGGGGCACTGCACTAGGAGTCAGGAAGCCTAGATTCTACTCTTGGCTCTGTCACTGACCTGTTTTTTTGGAAGAGTCATTTCAATCTCTGTGCCTGTTTCCCTTCCTCCGTTCAGGAGAGGGGTTAACTCAGTCCCTTCTAAAGTGCTTTCTGTGGCTTGAGTCTTATGACTTCAGTGGGCAAGACTTCCTGATACGATGCATTAATGCAAAGCACAGCACAATCAATGACAATAGGGCATCTGGACCCACTGGCACTAAACTTGGAGAACAACTACACATGGTCACCGAAACTACTGGTTTAAGGACATTGCATGGACCAAACGATGAATAGTTTGTGGGTGGATGGGAATGCTTGCCTTCCTGGGTCTACCATGGAGCTCCGACATGAACAGGATATGACCTAGTATCTATGTAGTGCATCTGTGTACATATCACTTTGCAATGGAACAGAAGACTGCATTTTTTTAAACCTCTAGCTCCTCTCTGTTGTTCGTAATAGCTATTGACAGCTACATGCAGGGGTACAGAAAGCTTGCTCATGCAGACTACACAGATTCTATGATGGGTTAGCAATACAAAAGAGCCTCACATCTATTGAGGGCTACTTATAAGTTTCATATACATGAGCTAAGCAGATTAAACAGGTGCCTCTGAAACAAACACACCTGTCTCTTAATTCAGAGCTAATAAAACGTCTTTTGAAAACATTCTGAACAAAATGTCTGGATCATGCAGTATTTATATGCTCTCACCTTATCATAGCGAAGGGCTTGCACAATCTGTGGAATGTAAAATAAAATGGCATCCTAGAAAAAAGGAGAAATCAGTTAGTTTTTTGCCAGTGTCAAGGAAAAAAATGTTTTTTTAAAAATGCATTGGCATCAGGAATTTCATTCTTCATTCAACTGAAAGTGCGTGCCCATTTCCATCTGCCCACACAGCTCCGGCAGAAATGCTATTAACAGGGCTGATGAACACTTAGTATTTTACAGACGCTTGTAACTACTCTGACAAGTATTCAAAAACCCCAGCTTTACACAGTTCCAGAAACACCTTTCACTGAAAGAAAGCAGTTTTACTCATAGGAGCAGTTTGAGACACACAGAGTCTTTAAAGAAGCAGATCAAGTACTCCAGCACAGAACAATGACTGACAGCAAACACATTGCAAAACAACTGAACCAAGATTATATAGGACAATCAATGCTGATTTCCAAATGCAGCTTCATCTACTTTATCTTCCCAATATAATGAGTCAATTTAACAAATTTCTTTTATTTCTTCACACTAATGAAATTAAGACATGTGGGCATAAAAACCCAAGGTCCTAATTGAGCATGAGTGTGTTCTCTCCAGATCTCTCCTGGAACATAGTCTCTTACCGGAGGGAAGGACCGCAGGACTTTAACTCCATACTGAGCTGTTAGAGGATGAGGTGGGTACATGCTTGAAAAATAGGAAAGGCCAGTAGGTGGATCTGTTGGTGCCCAGCACAGAACATGGCTGAGCTCAGGTGCATCTGCATCAATTGTGTGCCATGTAACCAAGTACTGTAAGCAGAACAAGGAGCAGTATGAATTTACAGGCCCAAAATAATTTCTGGTGCAACACACACTAGGGATAAATTTGGCTCGCAATGTATAATTATAAACCCATAACCTAGCCTGCTACAATAGAGAAAAAAAGTGATGCATGAATCTATTTGTGCAAATTAAATGTTCTACATCTTTAGATGCTGTATTAAACAGTATAAGACATTTAATTTTCAGGCACAAACATGGTACCATTTAACCACTAACTGGTCTCAGGTTGAAAATCACCAGGTGCAGTAATTTACACATATTGAACTGGAGTTCAGGTCAACAAAAGCACTGATACAGCTGTCTAACCAAATCTCCACCGCCGCACTGTAGCTGGTCCACTGGCTATATCACTTATGAATGAATTTTAGTGTATTGTGGGGAGTTTCATACACATTGGGGAACATACTTTGTAACAAGATCTGAGCACAACTCAGCAACCACATAACCTTGTTTCCGTAACCCTCATCTGCACATCCTATTTCCCTACCTATGGCTGCAGCTCTCACTTGCTGAATCATATTCACAATTACAATGTGAGTTTTTCAGAGTAAGGACTGTGTGTTTCTGTATGTCTGTGCAGATCTTAGCAGAATTTGGGCACTGTTGTAATATAAATTACTCTTAAAATTAATTACCTTTATTGCTTCAGGTACATCACTAACAGCTCCTGGGTCCAGCCGAACCAGGCGAGTCACTTCTGTTCCAATAGCTTCAGTGTTTTTAAATCTAAGCGTAACCAGGAACGTGTATGTGTTAGTAGATCAAGGTGAGCTTCAATTCTCACTTCTATTTGTGTGAAGAGAACAGTTAGAAACAGGAACACACATGCTTTAACAGAAATACCCCAAATAAAATCCATGTACAATAAGAGACAAACATGCTGGCAAAACTTACAAGTTGGTCGGAAACATCTAACCTCATTCTGCTAGTGTTTCTCTTCACACCACTAGTTGGCTCAGCCAGTTACAAACTTCCTGGATGAAGAATTCTCTGTGGAACTATGGAAGCCTGTCTCCACAGCTTTGCTTGTATTGCAAGAGGCAAAGTACTTCCTTTTCCTTCAGGGGCTAAGCTAGCTACTTCTGTTGTCTTACTTGTTTTAAGGCTCAAACCAATTTAAGGCTAGAACACTCTTTTCAAAGAGCTTTCTAATACACTTAACTCTATGCCCACTGGCCAGTGAAACAGTGTGAAGTTGGTTTAGTTGGAATGGTCTTCAAACATTACATCTGGGCTTTATGGTAAAAGAATTGAACTCAGGCTCCATTAAAGCCTCCAAATTACTACTGAAATGGGTTACAATTTTCAGTAGATTAATTCTTATTGTTTAATGGTCTCAGCCAGCAGTGCAGGGATGCAAGAGGGGTAAGAAGATGGTAAATGTGAATGCTTGCCTTGAGTATTTACTATGCAGCAGACGGAATTATATTGGTTCTTTGTTTTGAGTTGCATCTCACCTGGTAGGCAGTTGCACAGCAAGATGAGGGGAAATGTTCCAAGCCAAATTCACATTATCCTTCCACTGTTTCTCAGTTAGAGTGATGTACTTAGATCTCCAATTTGCCACGGTGTTCTCTGCAGTTTGATCCAACTCCAGTTCAGGGGAGGAGAGCGGGTTGTACCAGGTGATCAAACGCTCAATCTCAGTAGCCTGAGGACAACACAAAAACAAATTGCTTTCTGGACGTAGATAAAACATTCCAGGTTTTTCTCAAATGCTAGTCTAGTCTAGTCTATTTGTACTGCAACAACTACAAAATGTTAGAAATCCACTTCACATCCATGCTCTTGTGAAACAAAGGATGACCTACCAGCAACGAGAGCAGCAGTGTCCTCCGTTTCATGTAGTACTTGTGTAGCTGGGTACCTCTGTTAGTCTTCTTAGACATCCCTTGAGAAGAGGGAGAAAATGCAATCAGTTGCTTTTCTACAAATACATTAAATGCAGCTTTCAAATTGTCCCCTTACTGTCAATCTCAGCAGACAGGAGGAGGACTGAAATGGCATGGAATGCTCCTAAGACGAGACTGAGTACACTGGCAGGGTGATGGGAGAAAGCAGTTCTTATTCTATGAATATGCCAAGTACTTAAGTCTACAGGGCTATCAATCTGGCACCTTCACCAGCATTACACTTACTTTAATAACTTATAAAAATAATAACCTGCAGCCTGCAACTGTACAAACGTACATCAGGCACCTCACAAGCTCATGTCCACTTTGCTGTCCAAGAGCTCTGGCACACGGATGAAGAATAAGCAATTTCCTCTCAGGAATTTAAGCTACCATAGCCCCTGGTCTTACATTATCTGCATTATACAACTAAATGGTCTGGAAGAAAAAAAATTTGCTAGTTTCAAAACCTTGCTCTTTTCTCTGAGTGAGGCACGTCTTTCCTCAGCCTTTTGCAATAACAGTCAAGTGTAACATCAGTAAAACCTGAGCCAAAATGTTAACGGCAAATATTGGCCTTAAATGACTTTGAATGGAAGTGTATTTTATCGTCAGACAAGTAGCTAGTCTGGACAATTAAAGAAAGAGACCTGATTTTTTGGAGATGGTTGACATGCCACTGGACAACGGGTAAGTATTTATCCATCCCTGTGTGGCCTGCTGCCGAGATCCAATGGTGATATCCAGGTTACTCCGGGTGTCTTGATTATCTAAAATAAAACAAAATGTTTAGAGGCAGAACCAAATAATCAAAGAAACAAAAAGGGTTTTTGAGACTGCACATAAGGAACTCACCAGGAGGCACCAGCTGGCTGGCTGTTAAGTACTTCTTATCGGAGAACATGGCAGTCCAAAACTTGATCAATATGCTGATATCCTCACGTAGCCTCTTCTCCCCTTGTGTGGGGAATTTTGGGGGATAACTTAAAAATATATATGTAAATAATTATAATGCAAGATACTAAAAGAAGCTTTATGTTTTTATTTTAGACCGGGGTAATGAGTGAGCACAGTTTAAGTCTCATTGTGTTTTATTCTTACACCTTGAATCTATTGCACTAGGATATGCAGTCTTCCTATCAACTTCGGAAGAGTGAAAAAGCAGCCTCTTGGTGTCTATGAATAATGTAGAATTAAAAACTTTGATATACTTCTCGACATCCTAACACTGTCATATGCTGCTATCACTTATATTACTTTAGATTGCACCCAGGCCAGATACTAAAAGGGAACATTTGCCCACATATTGTGTAGGGGTACATTTTCAGCCACACACTCTCAATGGCTTTCACAGGAATTTCATGTCTAAAATCCTTTGAAACACTTAAAAAATTTATCCCAGTAGGGTCTGTAATCTTCATAACCAAACAGATTAAAAGAAATTTTGATTTTCCCTAGTAACAGGGTACAAAGCACATCAAACCATTAATTCCTTTTTGACTTCTTGAGTATATATAATGAACAGCATAGAAGCACAGGTGAAATGGGAAGTGGCTTTTTTATATTAATAGATAAACAGAGAAAAGAATTAAGTCAAATATCAGAATAAAAACAGCTCCTATTGTGAAGTATTCTTGGAGGTTTAAAAAAAAAAAAAAAGATCCAAAAAACCCCCCACACTTTTCTTGGGGAATTGGTGAAAAGAAAATAAACAGTACCTGAAGTAATCAAAGGCAGTAGAATAAATCTTCTCTCTCAAGACATTGCGAATGGTTGCATTTGGAACGACATCAGCATGCAGCAGAAACAACCCAAGTGTCAGCAACCTAAAGTTCAATATATACAGAGCATGTGAAGAGAACCCTTGCACTCTAAATTGCTAAGAACATAAGAACGGCCATACTGGGTCAGACCAAAGGTCCATCTAGCCCAAGTATCCTGTCTTCCAACAGTGGCCAATGCCAAGTGCCCCAGAGGGAATGAACAGAACAGGCAAGCACAAAGTGATCCATTCCTTATTGCCCATTCCCAGCTTCTGGCAAACAGAGGCTAGGGACACCATCCCTGGCCATCCTGGCTAATAGCCATTGATGGACCTATCCTCCATGAACTTATCTAGCTCTTTTTTAACTCTCTTGTAGTCTTGGCCTGCACAACATCCTCTGGCAAGGAGTTCCACAGGGTGACTGTGCGTTGTGTGAAAAAATACTTCCTTTTGTTTATTTTAAATATGCTGCCTATTAATTTCATTTGGTGACCCCAAGTTCTTGTGTTATGAGGAGGAGTAAAAAACAGTTCCTTATTTACTTTCTCCACACCAATCATGATTTTATAGACCTCTCTCATATCCCTCCTTAATCATCTCCTTGCCAAGCTGAAAAGTCCCAGTCTTATTAATCTCTCCTCATATGGCAGCCATTCCATACCCCTATTATTTTTGTTGCCCTTTTCTGAACCTTTTTCAATTCCAATATATCTTTTTTGAGATGGGGCAACCATAGGGTGACCAGATAGCAACTGTGAAAAAACAGGACAGGGGGTAGAGGGTAATATAGGCGCCTATATAAGAAAAAGTCCCAAAAAACGGGACTGTCCCTTTAAAAACGGGACGTCTGGTCACCCTAGGCAACCACATCTGCGTGTTGTATTCAAGATGTGGGCGTCTCATGGATTTATATAGAGGCAATATGATATTTTCAGTCTTATTATTTATCCCTTTCTTAATGATTCCCAACATTCTGTTCGCTTTTTTAACTGCCGCTGTACATGGAGTGGATGTCGGACCATACTAATAACCATGGCTCTGCCCAAGCCAAACACGAACAGATTTTTTTAAGCAAAAGATGGACTATGTCAGGACACAAAGTAAAATAAAACTACATATCATGGGCTGAACAGAAAGAAATCTGGTGTATGTGCATGCAACTCAATTCTCTTCAGAGTTGAGTTGCTTCTACCAGGTCTAGGGATAGTTAGAGCCAAATTCAGACATTACATATTTATCTGTAGAGTACTTCAGAGCAATGCAAATTTGAACTAAAAGAGGGGAAAAAATCCTTATTTTTAAAAAAGCAGAAAACAAAATCATGAAACATTTTCACTCTGCAATGTTTGCCTAGTATCGCACTTCCTTGCCAAGGCATGTGACATACATATTACATAAAGACTGCCAATTTGTTTTGCTGGAATGAAGGCAGCAGTAGTCAAAGATCGTGCTTTATTACGTTATCATTCTATTCTCTCATAATTGGAATGTGGTGGTAGGTTTTCGTATTTCACTGGCATTGATGCAGGATGAATTATCTGAAGAGATGGGGGCCAGATCTCTCTCATTCAGACGCTCTGGGCAAACTGCATTTCCTTCACCATCAACCTGAAACTATGGCTGGAAAACAATGGGACATGAAAGTCTTCAAGCTAGTAATCCAGAAAAATGGATACAATGGTTCTACTAGATGATCTCTGGGGTGATGTATGAATTACACCAGAGACTGATGCAAAACTGGTATTTGTGGTAAAAAAAAAAAACTTTCAGAAGTGCCTAGAATGACTTAAGACGCTAAGTCACATTGACTTTTAATGGATTTAGCCTCCTACGTGCTTGAGTCACTTTTGAAAATGGGACTTAGATTACTATGTCATTCTTGGCACTTCTGAAAGTTTTATCTTTTGAGATGAAGAACAATTCCTATACTCAGCATTTAGCTCTTTGTCCTCCTACCCCACATTCCTTCTAAGAGAACAAATATCACTCACTTGAAGCGGGGTCCAATAGCTGCCACGTGTCGGTTCAAACTGCTCTTTGCCCCTCCAATATTCAGAGACAGGGATCGCTGTAGCAGGCTGGAGAAGATCTCGACCTGATCAGAACTACAGTACTTGGCTATTTCAAATCTCTGCACCAGAAACTGAGGAAACAAAAAAAACAAAGGAAAATGTAGCTCAACAAAACCAGAACCTTGCATTTCTCCCATTCTTATGCACCTCTGCAAACATGAAAACATCACCCTACACTAGGCACAAAAGTACTACAACCATGAACAGTGCTACTGGTCCAAAAACAGAAGTCCAAAGGCACAGAGCAGCTCAGTCTTGGCGCCTGTTGCCTGCATCCTCCCATCCCATCATTATCTTAAGTGTAACAATGCAGAAAGGGGGTACTTGCATCTATCCAGATGTAATGTGGTGTGACCTCTGGAGGGCAAGGCCTTGGCTGACTCTCTTCTGAAGCAGCTAATGGATCTGCTTCTTTCTGCTCAGTAGAAAACAGGCCAAATTTCTGCTCCACTGTCATTTGCCAGGCTCCTGCCATTTCTCGCATGAACTGTGAAAATAAAGATTAGTGTTTGTTGCTCCAAATGCATTAACTTGTTTGCAGGACCTAACCTCCTTCTTTATATTAGCATGGAGCACACTAGTTCTGAACACCCCACCATATCTGAAACTTTGAAACTCATCAGAAAGGTCTGGGGCTAATCATCACCGTGACTAAGCCTACTTCTCCATTTCAGCATAACTCCCTGCACATATTGGGAACTTCTCCCTAAATTACCTGAGAGAAAGTGCTGGTTTTCTGTCATTGTAGCCATTTCGACATGCAGTGGTTTCAGCCACTACACCGCAGCAGTTACCACATCATTACTGCTAGATTTAGTCACATTTCAGGAAGTACAGCTGTTTAGCCCATTACAGGACAATAATAGTTCTAACACACATAGCTCGTCATTCAGGGTATTAATGCCAGAAACTAAATGGCATTGCTAGCCAAATTCCTTTCATTCCTTAGAAGAGGTGTTCTGGCAAAGCAGGAAAAAGAAAAATTCAGGCCTGGTATGTACAAAAGTTGTACCAGTTTGTACAACCGTTTTGCACTGATTTAGCAGACACTTTTATTTCAGTTTAAACCAGATTTATTTAAGCTAAACTGAAATCAGATACTTTGAAACCAAAATAAGAGTGTTCATACTGGGGTTTGCAACAGTTTAATTACATTGGTTTAAAAACCTAATTAAATTAAACTGGTGCGACTTGTGTGTGCAGATATGACGTGAGCCTGAAGGTATATATCTCGAGCCCATAATTAATTCTATATAAGGGAAAATTTCCAGCACTTATGGCTTAATCATCCATGTATTCTGAAAGTGATAAAGCTTCTCAATTGAACTGGCTGAAAGTACAGCAGGCGATGTGTAAATAAAATCCACGTCCAGCAGTACAGCCAGAGAGTGAGATTATCCACATGATAACACCAACTCATTAGCACACTGGGAAATCTTGACTCAAGAGATCAACAGTTGTTTTTAACATGCCTATTTTGCATGGATTTATTCTAAATGAGATTTCACTCCTCTCTTTTTTTCTTGAAGAAAAACCTGAATCACTGACTGAAGCTCCCTACCGGTACTTCTATTCCATTCTTAGCAGCAAGTAGCCACTCCCAGCAAGCAATTGCTGTTTCCATGCCATGTTCAGTGAACATTCGCAGGGGGCCCCAGCACAAGTGATGCAGGAGCTGAGGGTCACAGTCTGAAAAAACAAACAAACAAACATTCACACAGCTTTCTTTAACAGAGAAAATAGGAAAAAGTTTTCAAGTCAGCAGGAAATTGGTCTGCACAATTTGTGACAATCAACTCCAAACAAATAACATCTAGCTGTGACTTCAAGAGGTTTTCCCTGAATTAAGTTTACTGGATAGAACACCATTCTGCTTCAGTTTATACTCACTGGATTTGTGTATAAAGCATCTATAATTGTAATTTAGTGCTAAGAGCATCAGCACTCAGAAGTACAAAACAAAGTTCCATTTGTTTTATTACCTTTGCTACTTATTAGCATTGCAGTCAACATAAACATGGCCTGGGTGTAGACTTGAGGCTGGCCTGGTTCTAGTGCATCATTTAGTTGCTTGATCATCAGTTTATTCAGGTCAGATACCCGACCTGTAGCATTTGAGAAATGAATCATTCCAGCCACCTGTAAAACATATTTCTTTGGTCAGTGGTGATGAGAAAAATCTCTACATGGCTGACTTTTTTTTTTTTTTAAACTGTTTGGCACATGCTGGAGTCTGGGAGTATTCACAACTCAGCATGGAGATCCAATGCAGGCCTTGTGATATTTTCTTGATACTACATTTTGCTAACATTACTGAGTAAACACAAAGAAGAACAAGGGTTTTATTTGCAACTGAAATATCAAAAAATCTTTACAAGACCAGAAGTGAAATGATCTCCTCAATGAACTGTGTGTATTATGCCCTAAAACTAGAAAAGATAATGTTCATTACAGCCCTTGTTTAGATGTACAGGATGATGCCTCTTTGCTATTATAGCTGCATTCTACTTAATCCTCCATTTGAAAGCAAGTACAAGTGAGAAAAGCAACATGGCCAACTGGGGAACTCCATGAGTTCAGGAAAAATTCTATAGTTACCTCTCCTGCGTAGCGATTGCGCAAGTTAAGAGAAGACATAAAGTTGGAGTAATCTTTCTTTACACAGGCTGGTCTTTCAGTTAGCTGGGTTGCCTATAAACAACAGTTGTAATGGTTATCAACTGTTAATATACAAATATTGTGTTATCCATATACACTGTCTGGACTTTTAAACAGATCATCCATTCAGTACCAAAAACTGAGAACAATAAGGGTAGCAATACCGTGCCCCCCCCCATAACCTTGTGACACCCCCCCCCCACTCCTTTTGGGGTCAGGACCCCTACAATTACAACACTGTGAAATTTCAGATTTAAATAGCTAAAATCATGACATTTACGATTTTTAAAACCCTATGACCCTGAAATTGACCAAAATGGACTGTGAATTTGGCAGGGCCCTAGGTATAGGGAAGAGCAGCCTCCATGAGGCTGTGACTCCTATTCTAATGAATAGCGTCAAAGAGGGGGAAAGGGGCAAGGAGCATGCAGAACCATGGCTGAGCCCTCCTCATGTGCCAGCTTGCAGAGCTGTCTAGGTGCAAAGGAGGGAGCATTCTGCCTCTGACAATAGACGGTCATGCACTCACCATCCCCCTACCCCTTTGCATAACATTAGGGCTCCTGAGAAATATGACTCCGAGTCACTACTCTGTTTGGGATCTCCTAGGGTAGCACATCTATGCCCCAAACTCAGGACAAGTCTTGATACAGCCAAAATTTCAGAACTACTTGTATTGCAATTTCAAAACAAATAAGCAAAAATACAATTACTTCTCTATATTCCCCTTCTCAAAAGGGCCAAAATTCCTATGGATTACAAATCAGTGTGGATTAGCTAGGTGCAATCAGGCAAGAATCATCTAATTTCTATTTTAAAATCACCACCCTGATATTGAGTCTCAACAGAAAATCCACAAGGCTCAGCAAGAACACTGAAAATCCAGCATTCAGTTAATAACAGTCTTCTGCAGTCCTGCCTAGGGCTTGCTCAGTTCACTGGCAGATAGATAAACTTGTCACAACTATTTGTACTACATACTTCGGATGTCATGCTTGTGCAATAACCATGGTTTTGCTTACAGCAGCGAACCGAGGTCCAAAGTAATAAAACAAGAGATGAGGAAAAAGACAGTCTGCCTTTCTGATTAACAATGAAAGGGTTTTATTTTCATTTTGATGTGCAGGGCCTTAGTCACTCAGATGATCATTAAAAGGAAGACTTTCATCTATTGATTTGAGAAAGTATATTGTCAGAGTATAAACATCTAATGCAGCTTAACAGTACACATGAAGTAGTGTAATGTAACAAAGTCCATATACGTACATGCACACGGGCCTTTTCAGACTCTATAAATAGTTATATAAATAGAAATGCGCTATCACTTAAAAATGACATATGTAATACTAAACCCTTGCTAAAAGTACATCAAAGACTTGAATATACAGTTTTGTGCTTAAAGACACAAGATTTACAGTTTAACTTGTAGTATCTCTTACCTCCCAACCATTCAAAGGAGGAAGAACCTGCTTAAAAGACACATTCCTCTTCATTTCAAAACAAGGGATGCTCCAGAATGGACACCTGGTATGTTATTTATGATATGCATGACTTACAGCATATAGGATTACTTTGTTGATGCCCGATACTCACCCCCAGGGTGGTGTTTTGTCTGTTGTAGCCTGCAAAGTGGAGAATGCTTTCTGTAGCCATAGCCAGCCCGGTGTGCTGAGACAAGCCTGACACCCAATTCTGATGTTTATTTAGGTACTCCTAAGAGACAAGGAATCAGATTCTTTTGAAGAGCACTGTAATTTTCAAGAGCAGCTAGCTCATTTCAAGTATTACACACATTAAACTACCAAAAGATCTATTTAATAAGGTTGACTCCTTGTTTTCCTTTCTAAACATTGCTCCCTCAGCACTAGGAAAGCAGGACTTTTGTTCCTAAGAGTTCCTAAGACATTAGGCCCTTTTGAAACTCTCATCCTAAAAGCCTAAAATAAAAAGGGATTTTTCTCTCTTTTGTACAGAGGATGAAGCAAACCTAATAGGGATCTAAAGTTTGAAGCAAAGATCGTGATTTTGAAAACCAAGCACAAATGTTCTGCAAAAAGAGGCATTTTAGACTCCATGTAAGATGAAGTGAGATGGAAACACTAACTGTCTTGCTCTGCTAGAATGAAGATTGAAAAACTAGTGTCCACTCTTCTTTTACAGGCGGGAATACAAATGTAACAGGTAGATCTGAAGTACTACAGACTATTCTTGAGCCTCTCCAGAAACTGCCACATCAGTGCTGAGGGAGGAAGAGAGGTAACAGAAAGCAGGTTACTCTAGAAACTCTAACCTGCACTAAAGATTAACCCCCACCTCCCAGGACAGGGTTAACAGAGATGTTATCCTGCTCCCATGCTACCAAGACTCAGCAAAAGGTATTAGCAGCAGGATAAAGTCCTTACTTGCTAAGTCACAAAATTCAGTAGTTTACCATGGTCTTTTAAGTTAGCAAAGGTTCTACTGTATTTGAAAGAGAATTAAAAGTCTGAGAAAACCTCTCTCTAATAGCAAAGCAGCAAAGATGTTGCATTCTGATCACCTGCTGAGAATTTAAAAATGCATGAATTTTTATGCACATTAATCAGAATGTATCACTCGCATAACACTGAATCAGAGAGTAATTAAACCTGCGCAACATTCTGCATTCTTAACATAGAATCAAAGCGGAACAGAATGGCTGAAGTACTGAACATTAATTTGAACAACTTAGCAAAGATATTGTTTGAAGACTACTTCAAAAACAAAATTAAATTGCTACTGATTTTAGTGATGCTTCCATTATTGTGGGGGGCAGGGAAAAATAAGGAATCAGAATAGCCAAAAAGTTACAAAATAAGTATAAATGCATTTAGTCGAATGATATACGGTGATTTCAAGGTAGGTGAACTTTGTACATTTCTGAGGATCATAAATTATTTCTTCACAAATTCAAGTTAGTTACCTGAAGGTGGGACTTTGTGACAGAAGGAGCCCATTTCATTGCTTCTTGAAGAATCATCCCACACCGGGCAGCAAAGTCCTTCACTATACTCTAGGAAAAGTGCATTGATACACCAGTCAGCCAGCCAATAATCCACAAACAGCATTGTGCTTAGTGGCATAGTAAGCAACATTAAGGGCACCAGCCAGAGACAGCTCAAGAGACTTTTAATGGCATTAGGATATTGCAGCCTATTTACAAAAAGTGTGTTCTGGGAGGCAGAGAACTGTTATGCTTTAGTAAGGTGCAATTCTGAAACAGGGAAATTCAGAATGAACTTCAAAATGTCTGGTAGCTAAATTACAGCTCATGAGCCTTACCTTAGAAGGCACCTTCAAAACAAGACTGTTCAGAGTAGCTGACTGAGACAAGTCAATTAAACTGCTTTTGACCACCTCATCAAGAGAAACCACTTACCTCTCTTGATTCATATGTATCAGGGACAGTGATTCTATATGGGGTGTCTGGAATGTCATAGTATGGTTGGTCCTTGTGAATGTCCTAAAATAAAGCATGTTAAAGTCTCAAAAAGAAGCAATTCACCCATGTCTGATTGACTTGTTCATTACAGGCTACACTTTTTGCTTTGTTAAGTCAGTTTGCTAATGACACTGTCCATCCCACAAAGCAGACTCTTGCATTTTGGTTTTGTTTTCAACATGACCATAACTATAAACTATCTTATGGTTTAAAACGAAACATGAGAAAATAAATAAAATAGTACTTCTATAGCACTTTTCTTTCTTCAAAACACTTTACATACAATAATGCATTAATCCTAAATTAAAATAATCAAACTGCACACTTCTTACCTCGCATAGAGATTCTGAGTTTTAACTGATTAATAATGTTTGTAACATAATTTATGATCTTTGGATTTAAGGTGATTTCAGAAATGTAAGTTACTATGAAAGGTTTCAGAGTAACAGCCGTGTTAGTCTGTATTCGCAAAAAGAAAAGGAGTACTTGTGGCAATTTAGAGACTAACCAATTTATTTGAGCATAAGCTCAAATAAATTGGTTAGTCTCTAAGGTGCCACAAGTACTCCTTGTCTTTTTACTATGAAAGGTGTCTTTTCTTGGATATTATCAAGCAACTTAAAACTCCAAATAAGCAGATCTTCAGGCAAAATCATTATCAATGTGAAATGAATAATTTAAATCAAAGAAAAAAAGGGGGGGGGGTAACACTACACCACTTAGCCACTTCATTGTTGAATGATGCATAAGGTATGTTTTGCAAACATGCACCTTCAGTTGTATCTGGTATCTCTGTTCCACTGTTATGAAAACTTTGGTCAATATACATGCACTTTCTATCAGCAATAAAAGGGTTAATAAAGTACTCACCGCACTGAGAGAGAGTGACAGCGTCTGGAGGATATCTAACATGGTCTTGAGCACAGTTCCACTCCACAGTAAATGAGGGAACCTAAAACAAAACAAGTTCACACTGAATAGACAGGTGAAAAAAATTATGCCTTCCCCAAAACGCGCAGAAGATACACACAGAGCAATGTCTCTATGTGTAAACCTATACCAAACATAAGGGATTAAGTTGATCATGGCTCACAACAGATTGGAGTTGTCAAAAGCTCTCTTTGAAGGCAGACTCAGAAGGGAGATTTCCAAGGGCACAGAGGCAATCGGGTAAACAACTCCCATTGAAAATCAAGGCAATAACGTCAGGCTACATGACTTCAGCTCCGTATCACCCATGTGTGCCAAGGAGGAAAGGAAAGGGAACTAAAGAGCAGATTACCATTTTAACCTACATTTTGTTTTGTTCTTGATTTTCAGTATTTTCTGTAAACACACATACTAAATGCACTACACACTACTGGCCAGCAGAGGGCACTGAAAGCTTAGTTGAATTACACACAGCATGATAAAGCAGAGTATAGTTTTGCATTTATTTAACATTCTGCGATGTGGATCATCTTGTGTGGATACTAGGAAGAGGATTGCAATAGTAACTAAGCAAGGATTTCAAATGGGATGGATTTCAGAACCAGGATAACATTTTAGTAGCCCTCTAGGCCTTTTTTAATCATCAGAAATTTTCATCTTTGCTATGTACAAAATGACTGTTTGACAGAACTGGCAGTCACGAAATCTAAATGAATGCCCTATACAAATGCATTCTTCTTCTTGATAACCAAGTAGGCAGTGTGAAAAAGGTAATATAGCAGGGATGTCTATACTCACTTATCTACAAGACCAGATAAGTATTTGTCTGCAACCCTCCTGATCCTCTTGTGAATGTGGTTAAAATTCACTAGGAGAAAGTGAGCATGTCGCTCCAGCTCCTCTTCATTCTCTTTAGTTTTAGCCTAGATATTCCAAAGAGAGGCATGACACTTCTGTGTTTTTAAAAAGACTTTCACAAAAAAAACAAACACACACACACACACTTTACACTGCAGTTCTCCTTCCGACTTAGCTTACTTTATCAGCCATCATTGTAAGGAAAGCTTCAAACACCTTATCTGCAACAGCTATCACACACTGCATCATCCCTGGAGAAGAATCAAGAAAAATTTTGTGCTCTGTTACAAGAATTAAATTTTCCTTGAATACTGCACCATTAACAGTTAAACATGTTTATTTGTACTCAGCCAACACTGAATCAAGCTGCTTTACAATTCTAAATAATGTTCATTCCAGCAAGAGCAAGTTTTTTTTTTAAAGTTGAAAATAAGCCACCACCAGTTGAAAATAGCATTTAGCAGTATCCTCCTCCTCTTATATGCCACAGCTCTGCAAAATAGTCACTTTGTTTATCAATAGAATATCTCAAATAAAAACATGAACAGTTTAGCTATTTGGTAAGAGTGGTTTCTACAGGTTATACTGTAGTTTAATAGGGGGCATTTATACTCAAGGGACTCTTCCTACATATTTACTACCTTACACTTGCTGCAGTTCTATATAATCCAGATGAAATGACAAGAGATAAACATGTACATTTCTCAGTGGCGGCTGGGGAGGAAGTGTAATTGCAATCACGTTTACATACTAAGTTAGAGCTATTAATAACCCAACAACAAAGAGTGGTGATGGGACCAATTATCAACTTCAGGAGTTTCAGAAAAAAGCACTTGGGCAGGAGTTGCTACAAAACCTCACTCTGAATACAAATCTTTGGCAATGGTTTTGATTCAATGGACTACCCAAAATATGTTGAGAACCAGAAAGTAGTTCCATAAATTGCAATCAAACCTCTTCATGCATATAGTGACAAGTGACCATAATGCTGTTTCATCAGTGAAATTTTAATGGAGAAGACTGTCCTGTCTGATTTAGTCCTCTTCCCCTCACCGTTTTCAGCTAGTATCAGCTGATGGATATTTTTTATTTGCTTAAAGTTTACGCTGACACAATTTATAGGAAATTTGACTGAAACACTGAGTATACCTACTCCATACGGCTATTTTTACTAGGACTATGTCATTGGGTATGCACACACTGCACTGACTCAAGTCAAAACTTTTAATAATGACCAGACTACTCTGAACATAAAGGTGACTTGCAATTCTCTAAGGCTATGTCTATACTGGCAACTGAATGACAAAATGTGTGTCTTCCGTCGGTGTTAACACCACCCTGCCAACAACACAAATGCGGCTCATGGGGAGGGGCATTTTTTGTCGGCAGGAGACCCAACGAACAGCAGCTGTGCTGCACAACTTTTAGCGGCTCAGCTGTAGAGACAGAGCTGCAGTGACACAGCCATATCGCTAAAAGCTGTGTAGTGTAGACGTAGCCTAACACGCCTCCTGAAACAGGCGCACACTGTGCAACAACCCCACCCTGGAGCAAAGCAGCTAGACCACTTTTTTTCCATTTCACATCTGGCCTTATTACAGGTTAAGAGACAGGAGCTTAGCGCAACAGAAAGTATGTAATAGAGCGTTTTGCCCCCAAAGAGAGTAAGCGTTAGTAAGAAATGAGAGCACAAGCAGATATTGCCTACATGCTATGTTGTAAGAAAAATAAGCAGTTAGTGGTCAGCTGCGATCTAAAGAGTTCATTTGCAATGGCTTTCTGGCCACGAAGCCAAAATGTACGGTCCACTTCTGATAAAGTCAAAGACTATCTCTGACATGCACAATTCAAAATACTTCATACTTTAAAGCATATCCATGTAATGCAGGTTCACTTAAAATTGACCTAATTCCATTAATTTTGTTCTAAAAGATATTAGCCAGACAAATTTTACTTTCTCAGGTAGCATATAGCTGAGGTAATCTTACCAGATTTGTCTTTTTGAATAGCTTTATCCTCAAAATAGCAAAACATCACTTGGAAGCGATCTTGGTCTGTTGAACGCAATACCCTAGGAGGATAATAATTTAACACAATCAGACAAAACTAAACATGGAAACCATGCCTCATCCCTATAGTGCAGCGATTGTCAAACTTTAAAAAGAAAAGGAGTACTTGTGGCACCTTAGAGACTGACAAATTTATTTGAGCATAAGCTTTCGTGATCTACAGCTCACTTCATCGGATGCATTCAGTGGAAAATACAGTGGGGAGATTTATATACATAGAGAACATGAAACAATGGGTGTTACCATACCAGACAACTTGATTATCACTACAAAAGGTCTTCCCTCCTCCCCCTCCCACTCTCCGGCTGGTAATAGCTCACCTTAAGTGATCACTCTCGTTACAGTGTGTATGGTAACACCCATTGTTTCATGTTCTCTATGTATATAAATCTCCCCACTGTATTTTCCACTGAATGCATCCAAAGAAGGGAGCTGCAGCTCACGAAAGCTTATGCTCAAATAAATTGTCAGTCTTTAAGATGCCACAAGTACTCCTTTTCTTTTTGCGAATACAGACTAACACGGTTGCTACTCTGAAACCTCTCAAACTTTAGCAACCCAAGGACCCTCATTTTGATTTAAAATTTTTCAGGGACCCCCAAGCCTCTCCACTCCCCTGCCCCCTTCCCCGAGTCCCCACCCCACCCTTTCTCCGAGGCCCCATCCCCACTCTGTCCATTCCCCCGCCTTTCATTGCTCTCTCTCCCCCACCCTCACTCACTTTCACCAGGCTCAGGCAGGGAGTTTGGGTGCGGGAGGGGGTGCAGCCTCTGGAAGGATTTTGGGTGCAAGCTCTGGGCTGGGGCAGGGGGTTGGGGTGTGGGAGGGGGTTCAGGGTTCAGACTCTGGGAGGGAAAGAGTTTGGGTGCACATCCCTCTGGCAACAGCTTCTAGGCAGGGGAGCCAGGGGGTCTCCGCGCGCTGCCCCTGCCTGCAGACACCACCCTCACAGCTCCCACTGGATGCAGTTCCTGGTCAATGGGAGCTGTAGAGTTAGCACTCAGGGTGGGGGCAGCACACAGAGACCCCCGCCCCCACCCATGGCCACAGGGATATGTCAGCCGCTTCCAGGAGCCAGGGCAGGTAGGAAGCCTGCCTTAGCCCCGCTGAGCCGCCGGACTTTTAGCGTTCAGGAGGCGCTGGGAGGGAGCGGGAGAAATTGATCAGCGGGGCCTGCAGACCCTGGAATACCCTTGGGGACCCCAGTTTGAGAAACACTGCTATAGTACATACCCACACATCAAGAAACTAAATTACAATAAGATTTAACACCTGAGCCTTTGGGTCTATTTTCAATTAACAAGGGTTTGGGGGAAACATTTTTTGCTACTAAGCAAACAATTCACATTGCTGTTGGAAGTGGGAAAACTTGCACAAAGTTCACCAATTTGGTGAGTTGTTTCTGGTGTATTTCTACAAACAAACAGAGACCCCACTCTTCTTTACATGCTGCATTTGCTCAATATGGCAATGCCTACCAGTATTTAAAAAACTGCACTTACAGTATGTCTGAAAGGCTTTTGTGAATAAAAATATTTGTCCTTATTGTTTAATGCCAAACAGACATACAACTTAGCGGTTGTTCCCACCTTCTCCAGTAAGAGCCCTCTTCAGCTCTCACCCACAGTCATTCTTTGATAGCAGTCATTAGGAATTTTGTATCCATTTAATGTACTGACTTGCCAGTGTCTATTTCTGTGTATTTTTAATTGCAAAGCCGAAATGCACCAGTCAAGAGCAACAATTGTATATCGGATCTACTGATTCCGTAACCATGATAACTTTGAAGCATCGTGGATGACAGTCTGTGCTATGCCTCCAAGAGGTTTGGTACAGGACTCGCAGTCCAGGGGAGACAGAGCTGAGGATGTTTTAAACTCGCAAGAGGTTCCTCAGAAGGCAGCGTTATAGCTGCCTTCCATTGTTCCTGCACCAGGGGTTTTGGGTCGCTTTATGTCACTGCAGCCCTTTTGCCTGCCCTACCGGGCCTGGGCAGAGATGAAGATTTCACTCCCGGGGTGAAATCCTGGCCCCACTGAAGTCAATGACAAAACTACCATTGACTCAAACAGAATCAGAATTTCACCCTGTGTCCCCAAGTTTGGCCGAAGGGTTCATGAAATGCCAGAAACCAAAGATTAGGAAACCAACCTGTAGTAATAAAAATATACCTCATATACTCTAGACGGTAAACAGACAGTAGATAGGTAGACATAGCGAAGTCCAGCTTATTGATCAGAGCAGACACTTCTGGAGGAGGATCCAAGAGATTTATGATGGTGCTCCGTAACTCATTCAGTTCAGCCTAAAGGTAAGCAACTTCAGAATAAGGAGCGAGCAAACGTGGTGGCACTCTCTTTATTTGCATTCTGAAAAGGTTTAATCTAGGTTACACTACTGATTATACCATGCCTTTAAAAACAAAAAGCCTTCACGCTCATTTGCATCCAGGTAAAGAAGATATAAAAAAGGCACATAGCACTTACTGGTGGCACACAGTGAAGTACTGGAATAGTGCATAAGATGCATTCGTGCGGCAGCAGGAAACATCAATGCTCTTACTCAGAAGAAGTCAAGTTCAAGAGCTCAACACAGTTCATTAAAAGTGAGGGACAAACTGTCTGCTGGAGTAACGAATGAAGTTATACCAGCAAAGAATGTGACTCTGTTTTACACTTGTCATTCATCCTTGACTTTTTTATCTTGCATTGTAAACAATAACTCACATATTTCTGTTACAGTCTATCATGCAAACATAGGGAGAAAAAAGTGGACAAGTACCAAGCCATAGGCAATGGCAAAAGATGAAGGCTCAGCTAGGAGCCACTTTAATAGAGAGAACTACAGAATGTCATTTTACTCCAAAACCAAATTCATCCCATCACTGTTCTGCAGATTTCATCTGCAGACACAAAAGGAGAAAACACAAAAACATCATTAGGTTTCCCTTCCCACAAAGACCTGATTTAGCCAACAGAGGATTGCTGCCGCTAACAAAAAACACACTTGTACTACTTAATACTCTTGCTTTTTGTTCTGCTAAGTCATGCACAGCTTACAGGATGCAGCAGTGCATTTGGAAAGCTGCTGTTATTTAATGAAGGGAGTCAGGTGAAAACATTATATTGCTGTCCTAAGCAGCATCTGCTGGTTACTATCTAATATATTATTTTAAGTCTGAAGGGGCATAATGGAAGAAACAGTTTCTTACAGAAGTCACTGTGTCATTTTTCATGGCAGAGTTGTACTGAAGAACAGATCGAAGAGGTTCTTTGCTGGGAAATGTGAGCAGTGGAGACTTAGTGGCTATCTCACATACCCCTTCATACCACTCTTCCGGCCAAAGACCTGTAGTAGAAATTTGGAGGCGCAGGGAGGGGAGAGAAAGACAAACCATGTCTAGGAGAAACATCCTAATATACTCTCATTATACTGGGTCAACTGATGAGGCTACTATAGAAACCTAAAATTAGTGTAGTGATTTTTCTACTGATCCTCAGTTGGTTATCGCCAACAGATATTAAGATTCAATCCATGAAAATAAGTATCACCAAGTTTTGTGCTACCTCTTTAAACCATCTTTTCACACATTCAGGTATATACCTTCAAACTAATGGCCCACTTTCCAAACATGTAATAAACCTGTTCAGATGGCTGCAGGTGAAACCTCTCAACGTATAAGCAGTTTCTACTTTGCCTGTGTGTCATCCCTGACCCTCCCATGCTAGATCAGAGCCATCACACACTTATATTTTCATGCACAGTCCAACTAGCCCATGCCACTTGTGAACTGAGGATGTAAACAATAATAAATTGTACGCTTCTGTAGTCTGGTCCACGGCAAAGTAGGGCACTTTGGACACAATGCAATCTGTCATCAGAGCAGTGCCGGGTAAGACACCTGCCTTGTGGTTCGTTCCCAGTTACCCCTAGTCCTTCTAGATCTCTATAGTCAGTGCTAAACAGCTGATTTGCACTTACACACGATATAAACCTAGGTCTACCATCAATGCATCTTTTCCCACTGGACAGTATACTACCTGATCCCTCCACAGCAAATCCCATAAGTACCGAATACAGCCAAAAATCACGGAAGAGCTTCTGTAACCTGGGTTTGGCCTCCTTGATGGGTGGTAAACGTCTGGTGAGCTAACGTGAAAAGGAAAAAATAATTAGGGGATTTCAATAATTTTAATCACTTGTTAAGAGTCAGTCAATATAGCCTCATATTCTGATGTTGTTCTAGCATTTCAGAATTTAGTTTCTCCATCTGTTTCAATATATTAATAATAACGTAGTTACTCTTAAAATTACTGATATTGGAAGAATAATCATTTGATTGTGTTACACTGCCTTGGCAATACTAATTTTCAAAGCTGATTTAACAGCATCTCACTTTCTGCTACAGATAAAATACTGTAGAGCTATAGACTCACTATAACAGAAAAGATAATTTAGAGTTGCAGAACGTGTGGCCTAAGGATTATATGCAGATTCTGATCACCACCTCCTGCAACCTGTAAGGTGCGGACAATGCTGTTCAACTTACTTTATTGCTGATTAACTCGAACAAGCAGCAATTTCTAGTCCTCTATCAAAGTATTACTATAATTGTTTATTATTTGTTTTGTAGTAGTACTTAGAGAACCCAATCACGGATCAAGCACTACACACATCCACACACACTCCCACAGTCCCAAAAAGATGGTCCCTGCCTCAAGGAACTTACAATCCAAGAAGAGACAAGACAACAGGTAGACACAACTAATAGATGGAGAGAGAAGAATTTCACTGTGAAACAATTATGACCAGTGTAATAAACAGCAGTCACTTTCAAGTGACTGACATCGAAACCTTAATAATGTTATTTTAACTTTGTTTTGTATGTGTCATATGCATATATACAGTGCACAACTACAGAAAGAGAGCTAGCTACATCATCCAAAAGTATACACATTCTTACACACAATTTTTGAAGAAAATCTTTCACATCCTGCAAGCCCACGGACAGAGCAAAAGCAAGTAAGCACTCCACAAAACCGTAAGATCAACAAAAGATCCATGGAAGAAGCAACAAATCACTTGGCAGAGACTACTAAGCAAGTAAAGGGGTTTTGGCTGACAAGGCAAATTTAGCAGTGTTTGATTTAGAGCCTGTTTACTTTGGGAGCCATACAATTTACTAGCATCAAAGTTCAGATTTAAACCCAGCAATTCGCCTTATTCTAGCTATTCAACGTATCCCTCTCTTCACAGTGGCTTGGAGGTAAGGAACATTATTATCGTTTGAACTGGATTTAAAATCTTAAAGAAAAATATATTCCAATAGCGGGGGAAATGCTTTGCCCACAATAGAATGAGGGTGAACAATACATTAGTGTATGGAAAAGGTGAGAATATAAAACTAGGAACCACAGACAGCATTGTCTTTTGTTAGTGATTATTGCACAGAAGTGGTTTTCCAGAGAAGTACCTTAACCTCTAACAGTATGGAACAAAAAATGTAGCCATCAGTCACTTTAAAAATAATAATAATAAAAAAAGTGAGCTATTAAGACTACAGTACTTCACTCACTATATAGCACAGGTTTTAGTACTGTTCTGTTACAAGTCCTTAAGGATTAAACAATGTTCGATTTCAATCTAGAATATTCATCTCAAATAGTTTTAAGGTTCCCAATGCGACAATAATTCATTTTCATTCTTTATGTACATAAACAGATGGGAAAAGGAGAGACTGATATTACCTGGATGCTACAAAAATGTTTAAATATTTCTCTTTCCACCTCCCTCTTAGTTCTCTATTTCATTGTTTAAGAACGGCTTTACATTCTCTTCTTTCGAAACCTCTTCCAAGGGTTTTCCCCCCCACACTTTGTTTTGTTTTTTAACATTTTGTCTGTTTTAAATAAGGGTCTTTGAAATAGTGGCATTCAATGGTACTATCCTACACTGCAGGTTCTAAACATTTACCTTTAACTAAATAAATCCTATCTGGAACAAGAAAAATAATTAATTTTAACAAAATCTGAGTTAATTTGTGTAGCCATGGGATACTGGTTTAGAAATCCTGAGTTTGACTTTCCAACTGCTTTCACCCCTTTCTGTCATAGAATAGCATATTATCAAATCCTTGCATTCCATCCTTAGTTGATATCACAGCAGTAAATTACAGCTTTTGCATGTATTTTAGGTCACTAACCAAGACAATCAATATGACCATGTGCTTAAATATCTAGGGACTGTTTCTGGGAAATGTGGGTACCCGGCATCTTGGCAAGCCAGGTTTCTAGTCTCTTCACACAATATGTATATAAGCGCAGCTCTTGATTTTAAAGCCATAAGGCCAAATTCTACCCTCTGAGACATTCATGCTACTCAGTGGAATCAACAAGAGTTGCGTGCATATAACTGAGGAACAATCTTCCATAAGAAAAACAGATTCTACCAAAGCACTTTCCCTGAAGAAATAACCGAGGCTACTTTCATTTCAATTTGATCCTAAACCCTTTCTTCTAAGAAAAACATTGGCATTTCTAATAATTACAAAAGCTATTGCTGCTCTACTTTTAATTATATAGCGATCCCACCTTTGGAAAAGGAGCATCATACATTGTATAATCCTACACATAAATCAAATAAATAAAAGGTACAATGCCCAGAAAACCAAAAATTAAAACCAAAGAATTCCCTCAAAAATCTAGGCAAAAAAAGGGTAAATGATGAAGCTGACTGGAACAGAAAAACCTGTACAATTACGGAACCATGCACCTAAATATGGCCCTGCTCTGGCAAAGTCACATGCATGTCCCAATGACACTAATCTCAGTAAATAAAGTTAAACAAATGCGTATGTCTTGAGGGACTGTGCTATGTCCCTAGATCTCCTTTATTCCATCCTCATTCAATTCCATCCTTTCAAAGAAACTGCCCATAAAAATCCCATTTGCTTTATGTTTAAAGTATGTTTTACAAATATAAAACATTTGTCATGTTTTCTTTGCATCTCTCTGATGTGCTCTAAACTAATGATTTCCTACTAAATTCAAACATTTGGAAGCTATTGTCTATCAGACTTCAGCTTTTTAAATTTTTTTAAGTACACATACTCTTACAGCTTAAAGCTTTATAATATACAAGAGACCTGGGCATTTTAGTAGAGACCTGGGCTAATTGTGTGTAAAACAAGCTGGAAAGCAATGACACTTTCTCCATAGACAGAAATCAACTGCTGTTTAATGAACTTGAAGGTCTCAGACCAGGACAGGTCCAGGCTTGAGATATTACATGAGCAAGAATTAATTATACTAGGCACCACTAAAATGGAAAGGCTATCACACACTGTAGCGGAGTGGCTGCCCCACTCCTGGGGAACAGGGGTAAAAGCAGCCAAACTGCAGCCTGCCCCAGAGAGCGGGGGCTAGATGATGACTGGCAGTAGCCACTGAGGCAAGGTGGGTTTAGAGGGTTGGCGGCCCCTCTGGGAGGGGAGACCCAGAGCAAAGGGGTACTACTGGGGCCGAACCCTGAGATAACAGGCACCGGGGTCCAGGAGGGCACGGGGCCAGCAGCAGGCGAGACACCGGCCAGGAGGAGGCGCTCTGTATGCTGGAGAGCAATTCTCAAGATGACCAGCAGGAGGCACTGCAGCGGTGAGTCTCAACTTTGCTACACACACCAAAAAAATCTTTGCAGGAGCTAGCCAACTATCCACTGTAGGACTCAACATTAATTTGAACAACCTACTGAAGAAAAGGGTAACCTCTGAAAGCTCAGATACTATACAGTTTCTCACTATGATATATTGTCTTCCAGCTTCTGACCTGTCACAATGAAGCTCCTGTTTCGTTTGTTTGTTCTCTCTCTCATCATAACAGCTGCGTTTTGTGGGATCAAAGACTTTAATAAGCACTTTGGAACTATAAATCCCCGTGAAAACGAAACCCACGATATGTCTAAATTTCCACCAGAGTTCCATAAGGAAAACACTATAACCAATGACTTGATTGCTGAGGAAGAAGAGGAGGAAGACTATCTAGATTGGGAAAAGATATTTGGCGATTATGATTATAGTGACATAATTGATGCTTCTCCGTATCCATATCCAGTTTCTGAAATTCAGCAAGGAAATATTCTTGAACTATTCCACGGTAAAACCAGAATCCAGCGTCTTAATATCCTCAATGCAAACTTTGGCTTCAACCTTTATCGGAGTCTGAAGGACAGAGCCAATTCTTCAGATAACATTTTGATGGCTCCTGTTGGTATTTCCACTGCAATGGCTATGATTTCATTAGGGCTGAAGGGACAAACACACCAGGAGGTACTGTCTGTTCTAGGCTTCAGAGATTTCATTAATGCCAGCTCCAAGTATGAGATTATGACAATTCACAACCTCTTCCGTAAACTAACTCACCGGCTCTTCAGACGCAATTTTGGTTACACACTGCGGTCAGTCAATGATCTTTATATTCGGAAGCAATTTTCCATTATGGACGATTTCAGAAACAACACGAAAAATTACTACTTTGCTGAGGCCCAATCATCTGACTTCTCAGACCCTGCCTTCATCACTAAAACCAATGAGCGCATCCTGAAACGGACCAAAGGGTTAATAAAAGAAGCTCTGGTGAACATCAACCCGACAACAATGATGATGATTCTCAACTGTATTTACTTTAAAGGTAAAAAAATTATTTCAGTTTTCAGCAATGGATTAATTTAATTTATGTTTTGAAGCACAACAATCTGAGGAACCAAGAATGAATCAAAAACCTAGACTACAGCTTAGGCCACAATAATTGGTTTTTATTTCATAGTCCTACTGGGTATTAAGAATTTGTATGAATTAATTAATTACCACTACTACAATGGACCATGACCTCACTGTGTCAGGCACTCTACAGACACAGAACAAAAAGACGGTCCCTGCCCCAAGGAGGCAATATATGGTTTGCATCCATCACCTCAGGAAAAACAGTCATAGCTAAGGGAGTCTATGCAAAACTATTCTCGCAGGAAGGATCACTGCAGTGTGTGTTATAATGGTCAAATTCAGTCCTACTATAAGCAGGTGCAACTCCACTGACTTCAAGGGAGATACAAGTGGGTTGAATTCAGTCCCACACATTTATAAAGAGTTTTAAAGT